GTCCAGTGGCTCGGCGTTCGGCGTCAAGACGACCACGGGCGCGGCTGCGGCGAGACTACTCACGCTGGCATCGCCGCCGCCCGCAGCCGGGCCCGGCCCGCTGGCGCCGCCCCAAAGCAAGCCCGGCCGACGAGCGCGGATGTGCGATAGCCTGTGCTCCGTTGAAAGCCGGCCGGCCGAGACTGTCGCGTCCGGCACCCCCTCAACACTGCAGGTGGCGGGCAGACTGATCTCCGCACGCGCGACCTCGAGCAGCCCGCCGGTCCCGCCGGAGCTGCCCGCGCCGGCCGCGCGCGCCGCCTGGACGGCGCGCTCCACGTCGGCCACGCGGGCGGCGCGCCTGCGGCGCTGCGCCTGCTGCCGCGCCTGGCCCTCCTCGGCCAGCTCTGACGCGACCAGGGCGGCCAGCCCCATGCCCCTCGGGACGGGGGCGCAGGCAGCGCTGTCTGCGCCGTCGGCGCCATCGGCGGCGGATTCCTCCGCCGCCGGCAGGGGCTCCCCGCGCCAGGAGAAGGGGAGGCCGGCGTCGGCGGCCGCGGAGACCAGGACCGCGGCGGTGGAGTAGCACGAGGTGTTGAGGAGGAAGTCCAGCAGCAGCTGTTGTGAGGTGTTTGAGGCATCGGACCAGGAGGTCAGGGGGCGGTGTGTCAACGGATTGTTCAGGAAGGGCGGGAGGAGGGGCGGTGCGGGCGTGGCTGGTGGAAGGGGCCTGCCAAGCCTGAGGAGCGCGAGACCCAGCAATCCCAGCTGTCAGTTGGGAGTCACAAAGCAGCCCCGGCTGCCCCAGCAAGGCCCTGCACCCACCGCCGTGGTTCGCGTCAGCTCGCCGGCCCCCTCCGCGCCCATCTCGTGCACCGCCGCGGCGCCGCACGTCGCCAGGGCGGCCACGAAGCTCAGGTCGTCCAGCAGCGGCCGCCAGTGGTCGCGCCACGCCGCGACGCGGGGGCCCGGCGGCGGCGGAGGGGAGTCCCAGGTGTCGGCCGCGCTGGCCTCATCTGCGGCAAGCCAAAAGTCCGTCCAGGAGGGCAGCCCGAGAACGCCGCTCATGCGGCGCAGCAGGGCGGGCAGCGCGGACGGCGCCGCGGCGGCGAGGGGCTGGCTTTGACCGACGAAGGGCAGGGTTAGAGACGCAGAGGCGCCCGCCGCCGAGTCTCGGGCCTCCTCCTCCGCGGCCATGGTGTCGAGCAGACTGGACAGCTCCGCCGCGGCGGCGCCCGGCAGCACCAGCAGCGGCAGCGACGCAAGAACGCAGCCGTCCGGCGGCAGCGAGCCCGCCGCGGCCGCCGCCCCCGCGATAGCAGCAGCGCCGGCCCCCTCGTGGCCCTCTGGCGGCGCGGCGGCCCTGGCGGCCCCCTTCGAGGCGCCCAAGAAGCCGCAGAGTGAGGGCCCCGACGGCCCGCTATAGCGCCGCGCGGCGGCGCCGCCGCGGGCGCCGGCCGCGGCACCGGGCATGTCTGCGGCGCTGTCTTGCATGACGCTGGTTCCCCAGGTGCAGCGGCCGACGTAGGCCGTGGCGCCAGCCAAAGGGTACGCGAGCGCTTCCAGGAGGCTGGGCCGGCGCGATGGCGGCGCCGGCGGCGCAGCAGTGGCGGCGTTGGTTGCTGTTGGTGTTGGCCCTGACAGGATGCAGAGCTCGTAGGCGCCCTGCTGCAGCGCGAGGTGGGGGGGCAGCTCCACCCTGTGCGTGCACACGCGGCAGGGGGTGGGGTGGAGGGAGTTTTGTCGTCTTGAGTTCGTTGCAGAGAGGAAACGCTGGGGCATGTAGAAGAGCATCTCTTGCACACGAGGGAGTCCTGCGTACGCAGTTGCGACAAACATGGCGGGCACGCACACGCACCCCCGTGCAGCAGCACAGGATGGAAGCGCAGCCACGTGGGTGTGCGACGCTGAGCCCCCCCCCCCGAGATCTGTCCCGACCCAGCCTGCCACAAGTCCCCCTCTCCTTGCCTCAACCGTGCGCAAAGAAGCCTGAAACCACCCACTCAGCCGCACCTGGCGACAGGCCGCGCGGTGTCGAGCACCAGGGGTGCGTCGAGCAGAACGCCGGCGCCGTCAGACAGCAGCGCGCGCGCCGGCAGCCACCGCACGCCCGCCGCGGCCGCGGCGCTGGCGGGCGCAAGGCGGAGCTCAACGTAGGTGGGGGCCGCCACGGCAGCGCCGTCGCCGCACGAAGCTGCCGTGGGCAGGCAGCACGGCCACGCGTACAGCAGTCCAAGGTCGACGCCGACGCGACCCCCAGCACCAATGGAGCCCCTGCCAGCGGCGCGGCCGCAGAGCGGCGCGAACGACGGCGCGCGCGCGGCGCCGTGCAGCGTCGCCACCGTGGCGCCGGCCTGGAGCGTGGCGGCGGCGGCGGCGCGCAGCAGCCCGCTGCCGGCCAGCAGTCCCTGCAGCACCTCCTGCTCGCGGCGCTGCACATGCCCCGGCTGCGGGGCGCCGCCGTCGTCGGCGGCTGCCGGCGGGGGCTCCTCATACGGGGGCCGGGGCGGTCGCGCGCCGACAGCCCAGGCGATGAGCTGCACGCAGCCCTCTAGGACGATGGTGCGTACGAGGGTGGGCAGGCGCAGCGGCGACGCGGCGGCTGCGCCGGTACTGGCAGGGGCCAAGTGCTGCGCCATGGCGGCGCCGAGGGAGGATGCCACCTCGCTGGAGAGGCGCGAGGCGTAGTTTTGAGCGTGTGGCGGCTCGTCCCGCACCTATGAGGGAAGCCGCATGGGGGTTGCAGGTGCAAGGCGAGTGCATGGTGTTTGCATGGCGCTTGCATGACAGTTGCATGGCGCTCGGTGGGTGCGTGGCGGTCACGGTTGGAGGACATACGCAGGAGCTGAGCGAGGGGGCAGGCAGGGCATGACACGAGGCAGCAGTGGCGTCAGCTTAGGAGCAGGCGTCGAGGCGCTTGGGCTCCAAGCATGGACGCTGAGAGTGGTCGCAGGAGGCATGCCGTGCCGTTCAGACGACCTAGCAGGAGGCGCATGGGTTGTCCCGCGCCGCCTGTCCCGCATGGGGTGTGCGCGACCCTGCCGCTCAAACATGCCTCTGCGTTCTCTCTGGCCCTGCAGGCCCCGTCCGCCCACCTTGGCGCCTACGAACACGTGCCGCAGGGGCGAGTGATACAGGGAGCCACGCGTGGCATCTTGGTCCCGCCCCGACGCCGAGCAGTCCGCAGCGCTGCGCTGGTGCTGGCGCAGCAGCTGCTGCAGCACCCCGAGGTCGATGCCGGCAGAGGGGGCGGCGCCGGCGACAGGCGCATGCGCGGCACTGGGCGGTGCGGGGACCAGCGCGGTCTTCACAAGCAGGCACCGCGGGCCGCTGGCGGCCGGGGCAGCGCCCACGAGGGGGCCCAGCGACTCGGGCGCCGGCGCGGCTGCCGCACCCGCATCTGCCGTCCCCGGCAGGGCCACAGGGCCGGAGGCCTCGCCGGCACCAGCGGGCGCGGCGGACGGCGCCAGCGCCGATGGAGCGAGACTGGGCCAGCTGCTGCGCAGGCGCGTGCACAGCGCTGCCGGGATCGCGGCTGCTGCGCCCTGCACGAGGCCCACATGTGACTCATTGAACAGGGAGGCCAGGCCTGCCAGTGCGAGCGCTGCAGCCCAGCAGCGCCACCAGCCGCCGCTGAAGGCGGGGGCCGCCGCTTCAGAGAAGCTGGCAACCACGGCTGCAACCACCAGGGCCAGGGCGCCGGCCCCTGCCAGGAGCGCGGCGAGCCAACGCAGGCCGGCGGGCGTGGCGCCGCATGCCCCGCGGCTCGCGGAATGGCCGGGCCGCACGGCGTGCGGTGCGGCGGCGAGGAGTGCGGCGGTGGCGCGCGCGACGATCGGCGTTGGGGACAGCACAGAGGCCAGACAGGTCACTTGAGGGTGTGGCGGTGCCGGCGGCGGCGGGCTCGTCGTTGCTGCAGCGCCGCCGAGCATTGCTGCGGCGGCGGCCGTAGCGGCGTCTCCGGGCGACAGGGTCGGCGCACCAGCTACAAGCTGCTGCATGCTCGGCCCGCAACCTTGTTGCTCCTGCTGGGGCACTGAGTACATTTCAGTTATATTGGTTGGGAAAGCGAGCCAGGTCCGCCCCGGGATCGCGCCGAAAGCTCGGACGCTCACCTGCGAGGTTTTTACGGCACTGATAGCGAAGTAGGGCTTAGAAAGGCTTCTCGACACGCGAAGGCGGCCCTCATGTCGTGTTTTGAGCCGATCTTGGTTGTGTCTGGAAGGTGTCTGTTGTGCAGGGGGAGCGCGTTTTTACCCTTTGTTACGCTAAATTATGTATCATATGAGTGCAAAGAGGGGAGAGCGGCAGGTTTATGCGCCGATGTGCGCGATATCCAGGCGCACAACGGCATGACTGATGCGTGTCGCTACCCTATCAACGTGCGCAGCGGGTGCACACTGTAACTTCTGACATGATTCATGCTGAAATATAGAAATTATTGACCATGGTGCACGATGTGTTTGCGGGCGTGCACTTTTGCTTGTGGACGGGTTGGTTGCAACAAGTTCGCCAACCGGCAGCAGCCACCTTAATCAGACTGGATGCTGCTGCTCGGTAGGAAGCAGGTTTATTTTTACGTCTGATTTGCATCCAATTTGATACGCTACAGACTTGAGGATTGGCGGAATCCGCATTTTGAAGAAGCAGTACCGGTACGCCAATGACCTATACGGTACTGTAGTACGACAGAGATAGCACAGTGCAGGCGGGACCACACTGCGATTCAAGTGCCTTATCTTGTTGCTTATTGTCCAGTTGAGAAAGGGTGCTGCATTCAAGTTATGTCTTACACGCGATTCAGCCGGGGGGAGTTGGGTGTGTGCTGTGATGTTTGGGATGAGGCAGGGCAGAGCAGCATTTGACTCACGGCGCGGCTGGCTGATCGCAAACCTGGCGCTGAGCACAGGCGCAAACGAAAGCTGTGCTGGATGCGTGCGTGGGCTGGGCTGGAGCATGCACCATGCATGCAACCAATGGAGGTAAGGGTGACGCATCGTATGTATGTTGACAAAAACATGCTGCAGCAGCTTCCCTGTCTTGGGCAAGACGTCTGCAAGCGCAAGTAAGTCATAAAGGCCAAGACCCCTGCGGCAGCCGCAGTGAGAATCAGCGGACCCAATGTTTGGGCCCGCGCACGGGCGGCGCGTCCAGGCTGAAGGCACTCCAGGCCCAGGTGCGGCGCCATAGGGCTCGCGTCAGGCCGCCCTCAGCATCGGCGCGCAAAGGCGCAAGAACGGCGAATCGTTGGTTGCGGGGTCTGGGGACTCTCCAATTTCTGCTCGGATGCGTATGCCAGCGGGCAGACAGAGGTCGTTGGCCATGCTGTGGCTCAACATTGCTGGTCCTGGAAAAAAAACCAACCAACAAATCAAAGGTGCATTCATCTGGGATGGCGTGTGCCTGGCAATGATGCTCAACCACCCCTTGCCGCCGCCGTGGGGGGGCAGCGCAGGCAGGCAAGGCGTTTGAGGATGGCGGCGGCTGCGCAGGCAGTTGGCGTGCGCAGCGCAGAGCAGGGAAGGGCAGGGGGTGCCGGCCTCCATTGGCCTCTGTGGCTGCAGCGCCCACCACGTGGAGCGGGGACTCCTTTGTCTACATCAGCTTGGCCGCGCGCCCTCGGAGGGCGGGCAGGCTTCCGGAACAGTGTCGTTTTGTTTCCTACAAACTCGAAACCATAACCGCAACCGGTGCTCATAATTATAAACCGTACAAATCCATACAAGTTGAGCAGGTCAAAATCTACCATTAAAGATGGGCAGCCCAAGCAGTAAGGGCGCAGCAAAGTGGCGGTGGATGGTCAAACGATGACAAGTCGCATTCAAAACCAGCCCATCAGGCTGCTCCTGTTGTTTAGGGCGCCCCCTGCGGCGTGAGGGCCCGCGGCGCACGCACCCGCGACCCCCTCCTCGCTGCTGCTGCCGCCGGCGCTGTCGTTGAAAGTGACCCCGCTGCTGCTGCAGGACCCGGGGCCTGGCGGCCCCAGCAAGTGGGGCTCCAGTGGCGCGGTGGTCGGCGCCGTCGCTGCTGAGCCCGCCGCATCTGGGGACACAAGATCGGACACCTCTCCGAAGCATGAGGCCGGGCCGCTGCTGCCGGCGGCAGCGCTGCCACTGTCGGCGCCGGCAGCCGCGGTGTGCAGCGCCTCCAGCCGAGTGACCACGTCGCGAAACGAGGGCCTGGGCGGGGGCCGGGGTGGGGCTGGTGTACGCCTTGCTAGGAATTATGATGGCAGAGCGCACGGGTGCCCCGCCACCAACGCCACCGCTGTCGCCACACACGGCTGGTTTGCCACAAAACGCGGCATGCCCATTGCTCCGCCCGCTCGCCTGGCCTGGGGGTTGTGCCGCCAGCACTCCTCGGCGAGCTGCTTGGCCCCCGCAAACTCTGGGCCCATGGCGCCGGGCCAGGCGGGGCGCTTGCCGCGCACCACTACGGCCTGGTTTGGGTGTCGCACGGGGAGGGGGGGGGTGCAGGGTCAACTGGGGCGGAGCAGGGGTCCTGCAGAAATAGGGGCCGACAGGCCAGTCGGCTGCCCAGGACGAGCAGCGCGCTTTGCCAGCTGCAATCTGTCGGCTGCGGCGTTTGCAAGGTCGGCGCAGCGCGCATGCGGCTGGGGGACGCGTTGAGCGCGCCACTCCGGACTCACGTGGCCGAGGAGCGCATTGGGAAAACTAGCAAACGGCCTGTCGCCAGTGAGGATCTCGAACAGGAGGATGCCAAACTGTCGGATCGCGGCGTGAAGAGGGCGGCGGCGCAGGGGCCTGAGTCGAGAGGGATGGGTGCCACAAGCCGCAGGCAAGCCGGAGGACAGCCCGCCATGCCGACCAACGAAGGCACGCAGCAGGGCTAGGCAGGGCTTGGGCGCGGTGTGGCTGCGTGCGCACGCCGGTCAAGGATATTCTATTGTCATTGTTTGTCACACGACTCACATCTCAAATTTTTGTCGACACGATCACGAAGCGTGTGTATGTGCATGTACCTCTCTCTCAAACCCACAAAGAAAAGCAGTCAGACCGCGCGAGACCACGATTGCACCAACGTCTTGGCACAAATGCGTTCACGCGCAGCACCGCGTTCTCAGCCCTCACCGCGTACACGTCGCTGGCCTTGGAGGGCTTCGATGACGTCAGCACCTCGGGGGCCATGTGGGTCAGCTGGAGGGGGGGTCAGGATGGGGTCAATGATGCCGTCAGCTGTGCAAGCGGAGAAGCGCGGGGGCAGGCGGCCTGCCAGTGCTGCGGGCCTTGCACTAGTGGCGAGCTTGGTATGTGTCGACGGTCAGAAACGCATTTGCACGTGCATGCGCGTGCTGACAGTCACACTATGCAGCGCTAGCGATGGGCAGCGAGACACCCCCCTGATGCCCCTGGGCTCACCGTGCCGCCGCAGACCTGTTGCAGGGGCACGTGGCCGTTGGGAGTGCATGGCAGGTGCAAGCGAGGGGGCCGTCGTCAGAGGTGGCCGGGTGGTCGGAGGTCACATGCGCAGCCAGGGGGCCGTGACCGGGCGGCTGCCGCATGCCAGCCTCTGAGGCGGTGCGCCAGTCAGTGCGCCAACCCCCACCCCCACCCCCTCGCTGCATCGCTCACCTGTGTTGACAGCATTGTTGAGGCCCCCGCGGTGTCCAAAAATGAGGACAGCCCAAAGTCGCAGATCTGACCATTGTGTGTGGAATGAGAAATCGACATGCATGAATTCAGACGGGTGCCAAAATGACAAGGGCTAAGGAATGCATCGTGCCTTGAACGAACAAGCAAAACAACCTACACAAACCAGTAATGACCCTGAAAGCATACAAACGAGCCTCAACCACCCGCAGCAGCAGGAGTAACCATCTAGGCGTGTGCCCACGCCACCTTGGCAATCGTCCAGCCGCCCTGGATCAGGTTGGCGCCACTGCTGGCCACAGCTGCACCACCGCCGCCACCATCCACGACGCCGCCGCCGCCGCGGCGGGCGGGCGGGGCTGGGGCGTAGGCTAGCATGGCAATGGCGGGTGCAGCCCGGTGCATCAGTCGGGGGCGGAATGTGCACGGTCGCAGTGACGGGGCGTGCGACGCCGCTCGGTCCTGCCTTGCAACGTGCATCCTCACCACCCCCTCTATTCAACAACATGCGCTACCTCGTATATGCGAGCGCGTGGTGCTCAACCCTGCCACGTCAGGCCTGCAGACATCTAGACGGCCGCAAGCTGCGCCGTGTGCCACACCGCATCCAGTCCTTGGCCATGACCATCAGCAGTTTGGGGGCCGTGTGCACCTGTCTTCAGCAGCACGTTTGACGCCTTGATGTCGCCGTGAATGACCTGGGGTGGCGGGGGGAGCGGCCAGGGCGCCGGCGCGGCGTCAAGGCGGCGCTGGGATACAGCCTCTGTCAGCGGCCAGTGCTGAGGCTGCAGCCGTACATGACGCGCTGGTGAGGCCCAGAGCTTCTTGCTGCAGTGGTTTGCCCAGCCAAAGCCAGAGCTTGCCGGGGCTGTTTGGCGGATGTGCTTTCAGAGCGGCCTTCGGCGGGCAGTCTAACAGCTACCCGGCACAAGGCCATCAAAGCCCCAGCATGGGCACACGTCCTGGGCGGCCGAACCCTCATGGCAATGAATGGGTGAAGTTTGACCTGCTTAGCGCAACTTACCACATCCTCCCGCCCCCAAAGCACCCCAACCTGCTGCCTTCTCTCCCAAAATCACCCCCACGGCCCCCTCTCGAAAAGCACCCACAACTCCCTCCCTCCAGCACCAACGCTGGAGCCCCGCGCGCCAGCCTGGGGGCTGCGAGGCGCCGGCCAAGCCCCCAGTCACCCAATCACCTGCTGGGTGTGGAGGTACTGCAGCGCGGCCGCTACGTCCTTTGCCAGCGCCAGTGCGGTGGGGAGGTGGGTGCGCCCTGTGCGGGGGTTCCTCAGGCGGCCCCGGTCCAGGGCCTGCCGCAGGGTGCCCTGGTCGCAGTACTCCTGGGGGGGCGGTTTGTGACGGTTTCAGGTTTTATCAGGGGTTTGCCAGATTGGATTCAGAGGAAGGGCTTCCGAGAGGGGTCTGCTGCGAGCCTACCCTTGGGGGCGTCAGGGGCCGTGGGGGCCCATGAATGGGGAGTTTGCTGTCAAGGGAGTTGACTCGGCTGTATGTTGCCCTGTGCACAGGGAATCGTCGTGCTGAACAGACTCAATGCGCACGCAGCATGCTCCCAGGACGCCTGCACGCGCGCTCACCATCACGACTGGCCGCCAGGAGCAATCGCCGCGTGCAAAGAAACGGGGGCACCATGATGTTGCAGCGAGGGGTGAGGTGAAACGAAAGATCTTTCTGCTCTAGCGCAGATGGAACTGCCAACGGCAACGCAGCGCAGCGCGGACCGGCGCGGCACGGCGGGGCGTTGCAGGGCGACAGGGTAGCCGGGTGGCGTCGAAGGGCGGTCGAAGGGGCGGGCCCCACCCCGGAGCCAGGCCCCGTGTGCTCTGGTACGCGTTGTGAGCACCCCTTGCATGCTGCCCCCTTCCCTCCCCCGAACCACACACCCTCACCCCCTTCATAATTTCCCAGGCCCGCTGCGCTCACTCGTGAGCTGCCAGAGCACCGCGTCGCCCTCCGCCCCGGGGGTTGCCGGCGCCGGGGGGTCCGGTGCCTGCTGCCGCCTGCCGTCCCCCTGCGCGGGCTCCTGCTGCGGCGGCCGGCAGGGGCGCAGGCCGACGGAGAAGACTGACACCACGTGGGGGTGGGCCACGGCCGAGGCTATGGCCGCCTCCTGCACCACCTGCGGCCGCCGCAGTGGGTGTTGTCCAAGTCCATAGGGAAGGGGTGAGGCTGCATCAGCCACCTCAGTGAGTGTAGTTTTGGTCCAGGGGAAGCGTGCGTGCAATTGCACCAGCCGAGTGAAGAGGCAGGGGTGCGCCAAGCGCAGGCGCAAGTCGCGGCGCGCTGGGGGGGGGGCGCCAGGGGGGAGCGGTGAGGAGGTGTGCGGCCGTCGTCGCGCCGCTCCTGCGCGCCGCCCACCATTCGCTCCCTGATGCTGGCGGCCTTGGCGCCCGAGGGTGCGAGGGCCGACAGGCCTGGCAGCTGCATCACTGGGGTAGGGGAGGGGGATCGGGGGGAGGGGGGGAGCGGCACACATGGGAGGGGGGTGCAATGGGGTGTCAGCGATGAGAGCCAGCCAGGTGCTGGATCGGCTGGCCGGCGCGACACACGCCCTGTCACGGCAGACCTCAGCTGGTAAACTGGGGTTCAGCCCCGGTCCACCCAGAGGCGGTGCCCCTCCATCTGCTCCCCCCCCTAGGGGCGGCCTCGATGACTCACGCTTGACAGCCACTTCGGTGCGCCCCTGCAGCAGGCCGCGCCACACGGTGCCAAACGAGCCCTGCACCGACGTGCGACGTGGGTGGAGCGGGACAAGGCAGCAACCCGTTGCTCGCGGAGGTGAGGCGGATGCGCGGCAGGGAGATTATATGGGGTGCTGAGATTATATGGGGTGCTGAAATGTACTGCTGAGGAAGGGCGCACGTGTTTCACGCCGCAAGCGCCGCCACGTGCTCGCACAGACTCCAAACGGGGGGCTGCAGCGTGTGCATCGCGTGCGAGGTCGCGTGCGAGGTCGCGCACCTGGCCGATGGGGGACAGAAGCTGCAGGTCGAGGGACGGGCAGCTGCGCCCGGCGCCGCCGTCCACGGCCGGCAGCGGGGATGGGCTTGCCCGTTGCCCCGGCTCCTGCGCCTGTGGCGCCCCGCCGCCGTCCTCCCCGTCGCCCTCTGTGCCGCCGCCGACGCGGCTGACGCCAACCACACCTGCTGCCGACGCGTCGGCCAACGGCGGCGGCGTGCTGTCCGCCAGGGCAGCTGCCAGCCTGTGCATGTGGATGCGACCGATCCTCTTCCCGATCTTGCGGCTCAGCAGCTGCCACCTGCCCTCCACATCATCTGACGCCGGCGAGCTGGCGCTGCCGCCAGCTGGCGCCTGCTGCACCAACACGGCCACGCCAGTGCCGTTCTGCGAGTCCCCCGCGCCCGCCGCCGCGCCCCTGTCGGCCGCCGCGGCGGCCGCCGCCGCGGCGAGCGTGCGCTGCGCGTCGTCCCGCGCGGGTGCCGCGTCCGCGCCGCAGCCGTCCGCGCCGCCGCTGCTTTTGCTGCCGGCGACCCGAGCGCCGCCAGAGCTTGACACTTCCTTCACCTCAGACCCGCCGCCAAGCAACCGCTGCCGCCGCGCCCTGCGGCGCCGCGCCGCGAGCAGCGGCAGCAGCACGCACAGCAGCAGCCCCACCGCGGCGGCGGCGACGCACACCCCTATCACGGCCGATGCCCAGGTCGGCAGGCGGGCGGCCGCGGCCGCGGCCGGGCCGCCCCCAGATTCGGGCCAGTTGTAGCCTGGCGGCTGCGGCGCCCTGTCCTCTGTGAAAAGCAGCCTCGAGCCGGCCAGGCCGGCGCCCTGGTACGACTGCACAAACACTGAGCCCTCGCCCACGGGCGCCGCCCCCCTAAACAGCAGCGCGCGGCCGCCTGGCAGAAAGGGTGCAGGCAGGTCCGAGGGTGAGGCGGTTGGGGCGGTGGATGCGCATTGTTCAGGGTGGGCGGCGAGCCTGATACCACCTGTGCTGGTGTGTGCATGCGGCCTGCTATGACAGGCAGCCCGGCCCTGATCAGAGAGGGCTGCCGTAAAGGATCTGCCATATAGCTTGCCCCAACACCCGCCACTGCCGCCCTCCCTGGTGCCCTGCTGCCCGCCGCAACGAGGGGTGCCCTTGCGTGCCGCACCCCCAAAATGACCGGCGGCGCCGCACCCTGCAAGGGGATGTCGAAGCTGGGCCCCCGCTCCGCCAGCCGGCGGATGTGGCGCAGCTCGAGGCCCGGGACCAACAGCTGGCACCAGTCCAATAGCAGACGTGGCTCGTCCAGCGAGCTGCGGCGGCAGGCGGGGCGGATGGCGGGGCGCGCAGGCGGGCGGCGGGCGGTGCTGAGAGGTCGGAGCGCTCACGCAGGGCAGGCGAGAGGCGGCCCGTTGACCTCGAGCGGGGGGCGGCCGTCGAGCGGGGTGCCGCAGCACGGGATGTTGCAGGGGCGGGTGCGTGAGTGATTAACGATGACGGCGCGGGGGCCGCGGCGCGCTGGCGCGCCTGTTGATGGCCCAGACCAGGTGTGTCCAGAGGTCAGGGTGGGTCAGGTCAGTCGCCTCGCGGGCAGAGGGTCCCTGGCCCTGATTGATTATGAGGGGGAGTTTGTTTGCATTGGGGAGACATCGATAGGAAGAGAAGAGCAGGTATGGGCCGCGGCTCGCGCCTGGCATGTGGTGAGGTGGGCGCATGACTATAGGGTGCGGCGCATGGGGAGGGACGGGGGTCAGCATCGGCCGGCCGAGCGGCCGCTGCCACCCGCTTTGACTGAAAAGTCGGACGTGCCGTCCGTTTGCACGGGCCCGCCGGCTGGCGCAGCACGGGAAGCACGCACAGCAACCACAGCAAGCGCAGCACGCGCAGCACGCGCAGCACGCGCCGCCAAAGCACAGCACGCGCAGCACACGATGCCAACACACAGCACGCAACGCCCAGGCCAGAGCACGAGGCGAGCCCTCACCAGCTCGAGCAGCGACAGCCCCCTGAGCTGCACGCTGTTCGGCGACTGCGGCGGTACGACGATGAGGTTCGTCTCCCACCCAAACCACAGCGGCGGGTGCACCGGCACCGCGCCCGGCCGCGGCGGCTGCGGCGGCGCCCCGGGCGGCGCGGGCGTGGTGTTGGTGGGGATGTCACCCATGAACAGCAGCGAGTTGGGCACGGGGCCGGGGGTGACGACGAGGCCGCCCGGCGGCGGCCAGCCGTTTGCCGGGCTGGGTGACAGGTCTGTGCCCTGGGGCGGCACTATCAGGACTGTAAAGCGGGAGGAGGGCAACCGACGGGGCGACTACCGTTGGGAATGGGGCTGGGGTGCTGTGGGATTATTTTGAGTTGATGGAGGCCCGGGTGCAACACCACCGCATGCAGCCGTGACAATGAGCACCGGTGGGGTACGGATTGAGTGGTGGTCATTCAGGCGCACGAGCAGTGCGCAGAGCTCCCGGCATAAGCTTCACAGCCTGCGCTAAATGGCGCTCGATTGCAGCCTACGCTCCAGGACTCGTCATCGGCGCCCTGCCAGGCCCATTATTAATGCTCACTCGTTGTCGGCCTGGTGAGAGGAAACTTGGACTGAAGGGATGAGAGGCAGGGGAGGCAGAGGGCGATGGGGTCACGCAAGCGCAAAGGCCGCGGCCGGCCCAGGCCGGCGTCAACCAAGGCTGCGCCCCCAGACAGGGGCTCAGATCACACAACTCAGACGCGTCCTGCTACAGCATGCTGTGCACTCCATCGCCCATCCACACCCCGGCCCCTGGTCAGATTCAAAAAACAAGCACCAAAATCACACCAGCAGATCCTGAGGCCCCTTGAGCATGCCCGTGATGGGGGGCACGTCCAGCGGGCTGCCGACCGCCTCCGCCGCCTTCTCTGCCGCCGTGAAGACGCTGGCTGACGCGTTGAAGGGGATGCGGGGCGCCACCACGTTGGCGGCCTGGACATAGGTGTCCTTGTAGGCCACGGCCCTGAAGGGGTCCGGCGGTTGGGCGGCAGTTGGAGGCGGTTGGGCGGCAGTTGGGCCGCGCTTGGGCGGCAGATGTTGGCAGTGCGGGTCTGGCTGTCTGTCGAAGGCTGGCAAGTTCCTTTGACAGACACGTGCAACAGACACGTGCCACCAGACCCAACATAGTAGCATTCAGCAGGCGCAGCGGCGCCCCTGGAGGCAAGGTCGCCTCGGGGGGCGGGAGGGCGCCGGCGCCGGCTGGGCGCAGCAGGGCGCGGCGAGGGGCAGCGGGTGAGGCGCGGGGCGCGGGGCGGGCGCTGACTTGTTTATGAAGAGTACGATGTGCACCCCCGGCCGCTGGTCCACCGATATCTGGGAGACGGCGCTGCGCGGTCCTGCGGCCAGCAAAGAGGGAGGCGGTGTGCGCGGCTTGCTTCACGCCGGACGATACTGGGTGGCGGGAGCTGTTGAGGCGGGCCCGTGTCGCGGGCCCGCGGGTGAAGTCATTAGGTTCAGCTCGAGGGGCAAGGTCACGCCCTGCAGTCACTCAGTGGCGGGACG